AAATACCCCAACTGTGACCAACTTTTCTTCCAGAAAATGTTTCAACCTTCCGAAATTCTTTTCTGCCACTTTAATTTATTGACATATTCATGAATCGAGATAGACTTAACATATATATTTAAACTTCCCGGTGGTATGTGTTGTCATTAACGTATCTGTGACTGCATTTTGTAGGCGCCACTTCAGCATTAGGATTAGAAGAAAAGGAGGACGTCAAATTACCCTGGAATTCTGAGGTGCTGCCTTCTATCAGTATTACATTCAAATATAAGCATTGCGCGATGTTAAAACGTAAATGGAGGGATGCCTTGACTTCACTGTCTGACTTGTGCATTTTCCCAGCAAAATGTTTTCCTCATTTTAACCCACACTTAGCAGAGTCATTCGGTGCTGCATGTCATACCACTGCAGAGTGCACTTCTGTTAATTTTCCAGACTCACGTAATGAAACTGGTGTATGTAGTGCAAAAGCCAAGGCTTAGAAGTCACAGGGAATCGGCTTGGGTTCTGAAGTCACCTTTTCTAAAAACTAAAGACAATAATTCTTGGTCAGCCTGTGACCAGATGTTTGTTTCTTTGTTATAAAGGAATGTGTAAAGCTCTTCGTGAGATTCAGAGAGAAACAGGTTGTACCAAAAAAAAAAAAAAAAAAACCCACAAAAAACCGGTGCTTTTGTTTGTTTAACCACTTTGTCCTTGAAAAGACAGTGCTTGTGACTTGAAAGTACTGTTATATTTGGATTGTCAAGTAGAGCTGCAATGAACATTTCAGGATAAGCCAAAGCATGGGGAACAGTAATAAATATGTGGGGTTAAAATACCAGCAGTTTGGCTTAGTGATGTTTTACTGAGGACAGCCCATTTTGGGTAGGGAAAATAGCGTACACTGAGTACCTTTATGGCGACCGAACTTGAAGGAAGCTAAGTGCAGGGTAGTGATGACCTATTCCAAGGCGATAGCCGTGGAAAGAGGTAAGGAGAGCCTGAACTCTTGGATCTCGGCAGCTCCTGCCTGGTGGCACAGCACTGTATCTGAAGTCAGCAGACGTAGCATCCTGGTTCTGACCCACTGTGGGATCTTGGAAAAACTTGTCTGACTTATTTGAATGTCAGTGACCTCATTCAAAGACATGGTACTGATACCTACCTCTCAGGTTATGTGTCATGAACAAAAATGTGGTAACAAATGTGAAAACACATTGTCAACTGTAAAGGGTGCTATAGAAATGTAAGACAGAATGATCACAGTGGCCACTAGGGACCTAGTGAAATGCTGAGGACACTTTTTTAAAATCTGAAGGACAATAAAATGGGAAAGTTAGAGCGGGCATGGGGATTTCTCATTTGGGGTATGTTGAGTGTTGGTAGACTATTATCAGACATCTCTGATAGGTATAAATTGCTTTGGTACTTGAAGCCCTCTGGGGATTTTTAGATGTTTTGACCTTAACTAAATTCCTGTTCCTGAACACCAGCTATGCACCAGGCAGTTAGACACTGAATGTAGCAGTTGAGGGGTTAGGCTGTAGTGGCAGGAACAGAAGAACTAGTGAACAGGAACCCTTTATCAGGGACAGTAAGTCCTTCATATAAGGAACGTGGAGAGCGTTAGGTTAGACAACAGTGGGGGAGTTTGTAGTTAGGACGAGGGTGGAGTAAGGGTGGAATTTAGGTAGTCAGAAAAGAGCTGAGTGTGACCAAAGCTGCCAGGTGATGGACAGGAAGGAGCCAGTCACACGTAGGTCCCGGGGAGGGATGTTCCAGACAGAGAGAACAGCGGGTCCCATCTGCTCATCACGGTACTCCAGCATCTTGGAGTGACCAGGAAGCAGCAAGTGGGTAACTGTCCTTAGAATCACTTTTATTATTGTTGTGTGTAGAAAAGAGAATGTGCATCATAAGGGCCTGGCACATGTGGGTGGTCACTAAACAGTGTTCTTATTCTTCCCTTAGTAAAGTAAAGCTTATGGTACTTTTTTGAAGAGCTGCATAGCTACATTTAAAATTTTTCTGCTGTTAATTTAAACAAATGTTTTTCTTTCTACTTTGGTACTTTATTCAACTATTTTCCCTATCAATAAAAGTTTTATCAAATAATAGATTCTGCTAAGCCTTTGTTTACTGAAATGTAGCAGTTTCCACAGTGTTCTGTTAATACCCAGCATGACAGACTCCAAGGCTTCTTTTCATGCCGTGTATGTTATTTTAATGCTCAAAACAATATCTGTCCTAAGAAACATTTTAAATGTATAGCATACTTATTAAAGAATATATTTAAATATGTATTTTAATTTTTTACTGAAGTGTAGTCAGTTTATAATGTTAGTTTCAAGTGTACCTGCAAAGCAATTCAGTTATACATATAAAAATACATATGTTTTTAAACGTCCTCTTCTTTTGTCGAGGAATGCAAAATGGAATTAGGTGCTTTGAAGTTAATTCTTTGTTGAAATCTGCATGTAAGTCAGTATTTTGTCTGTGAAAATATTTGCTCTAGCTTTCCATGCTCAGTTTACAGAGTCAAAAGCCAACTGAAGATAAAAGATAGACTTGATCTAAAGAGTGTATATGAAATTTTCTATTTAAATGTTTGGGTTTCCAGGATATGCTTATTTTGTTTTCGAGTCTAATTGCTTTTAAAGTAGGAAATTAAAAAAAAAATAATAAGGTAGGAAACACAGGTATTTTCTTAGAAAGGGATCAGGAAATCTTTATGCAACTCATTATTAATATTAATCTTAACAGAGTATCTCCGAGAGTGAACTACCGAACCGTGTTGTTCATTTATCTGGAGCTGCAGGTCTAGGAGAAAAAAAGACATTAAATGGACAAGTAGAAAGTAAGTACTGTATTTTATTCCAAAAAAAGTCGTTTTAAATCAACATTCTGTAAAATATGGATTTGGATCTGTTCTCTCAGCCAAAGAACATCACCTGTTGAACATATAGTGAGAAAAAAGAGGAGAAAAGGAAGTAAATTGTATATCTTACCAGGTGTCAGCAACAGATTAAACTAGAATGCTGTTTAAGGAGCTCAGTTGTCAGCTTTCTTTCAAGATGCTCTGTGACCTGAGGACAGTCAGGAAACCAGGAGGAGGGAAGGAGGGAGCGAAGAATGAGGGAGGTAGAGAGGAGGGGAGTAAATGAAGGAAAAGGAGGGGGGTCCCTGGCAGGAGGTGGTAATGTAGAATAGTTCTTTAGAAGAAGGAAGAGAAGAGTGTTTGAAATGAGACGGGTATGAAGTGAACTCCTTCCAGCACCAAACCTTGTCCGGGAGGCAGGGCAGAATGTCCCACTCCCTCGTCCCCTGACCCTTAGGAAGGCGGTGAGGACTGCGGTACCTGATCCCGCAGAGCTGGGTGTGGCTGCCGGTGAGCACAGGCGGGTGTGGTCAGCTGTCAGTGTCTGGACCTTCGTGTCATGCAGCGTGTTGCTGCCTTATAGGATGGCGTCTCATAGGCCAACAGAAGAGAGTGGGAAAGAGGTGGAGAGCAGGGTGCGTTCCGGGGAGGTCAGGGGCGCTGGAGCCTGGTAAAGAGTTCACTGAAAAGTCTGCAAATCCTGATGCAGTTTTTGGGGAAGTGTTAACAGTGAGACGCGTGTGGCTGTTTCAGAGGGATCAGTTAAGTCCGAGTGCTATAGAAGCAGACGCGGTATAGACCAGAGTTTCTCAAATTTTAGTCACCTGGGGACCCAGTGAAAAGTGCACATTCTGAGTAGTGGGTCTGCGTTTCTAACAAGCTCTCAGGTGATGCCCTTGTTGCTGGTCTTCAGATCATGCTCAGAGGATAGACTTGTGTGTAGGGGAATCTGGAAGAAGAGCCACTGGGGAGTTTAAGACAACAGCAACAAGGAAAAGCATGATTTTGTTTTTCTTTCTGAGCACGTTCATAGCCAGAGGGAGGCAAAGAGTTGAAGTAGAAATTAGAGATGTAAGCTACTGCAGCTAAGCAGAGAGGAAAAAGAAGTGGTGGGGATCATCTCTGTCAGAAGAATAGAAAAGGGGAAGATGTAGAGGTACCTTTGAAGAGGAAAGTGAAAGGAAGGAAGGAGGAAAAACAGGCAGCAGGTAGGTGATTTTGGAATTGAGGAGGAACCTTGAGAGGACTCCTTTTCGATGGCATCAGTGTATTTGCACTGAAGCCAGGTTAGATCATTGCCACTCCAGAGAATACTGGAATCAGGAGGGGGCCTAGAATTGGGGTAAACCACGGCCTCTCCTCCTATCAGGCTTCAAAGATAAATGTTGTACTGGTATTTGTTATTCAAATGAGACTAACTTGAATATGAAGCATTGGCTGTGTTGTTGTTGTTGTTTTTAATGATACGTAATTTTTTGATAAGATACTTGTTTCACAATAATCCTTTTAAACATTAGCCTGATTTACCAAACCAATTTTGGAATAAAAGAAATTAATAGGATTCATTCCATAAATGCTAAAGTTGTTATTTTCAGTGAATACTACACAGGTTTTGAAACATAAAAGACTTAATGTCTAATAATTCTGTGGCAATGAAATTTTTTTTTGATCACCAGATTTCAATATTGAAAACTCAGTATACATTCTTTCTTGCATGAGTGGATCAAGAAACTTTGACGGCTAGAGGATCCAAGAAATGTAGGCATACCGGTAGCCCATGTGGATATGGGAAAAAATGAATATTTTTATGAACGATTATTCTACAAGTGTGTATGTATCCAGGCTGATCAATTCATAACACTTTCTCGGACGAGAAGTGAACTGCACATTCAAATGAACTGCCATCACAACTGTGGACTTCCTAAATCACAGGACAAATTGAAGGGCATGATAAACACTTGTAGTCTAATGGTGTCAGTCGCATGAAAGATGTGCTGTTGCATTTTACCGTCAGCTTTCACTTTTGTCTTCTTGGAGCCGTGACTTGTTCCTCTGATTAAAGATCGCTTTTCTCCTCCTCAGGCAGCATGTTCACACTTGTATATGTGCCCGTTTCTATTTTATAAAGTCATTTGAAACATAGTCGTACTTTTGACATCTTAACTGCATGTTTTGTTAAACCTATATTCCTGCTCTTTATTCAGTATCTATAATGGATTCATATGTCTGTCTTGTTGCTTCCTAACTGCCCCTGAAAAACAAAACACCGAAACCTAACGTGTTCATTTCCAAAGCAAGCATGAGGATTGCGCTCAGTACTAACCGCATGACTGGATAGTTGGCTTTCATATTTACTTATAATTGATTATGTGTCCCTTTTGGCTTTTAGGTTCTACTGGAAAATGTCCTCACCTGAAGGTAAAAACTTTTATACTTTTATCTTGAATTTTTTTTTTTTAATGAGGGTACTGGGAATTTAGCCTAGGACCTCATGCACTGCTAAGCAGGCACTCTGCCACTGAGCTAGACCTTCCCCCCTTGAATTATTACTACAGATTGTATCAAATGTACATTATTAATCGATTTGTTTCAAAAACCATTCAGCCTGCAGTTGGAGTGAAAGATTCTGTTCCTAAAAAAACAGGAGCAATGAAGAATTTACAAAGATTCAAATCAGGTAAATTTTGCAATACAAATTTAACTATGAAATGAAGTACAGTCTTCTTATTCCTAATTCCTTTTATTTTTTCAAATTTAATTGAAAGATGACATAAGTAAGGCAGG